TCATCATGTCATCACACATGTTGATACCTATCTGCGCCAGTCGCCCGCCGGCGGTACACTCGGGTGATCAGGTCCGGTGCCTCGCGCTGTCGGGGCTGATCCCTGCGAGAGGAGCGTCGGGCCCGTCCGACACCGGGCCCCCGGAGCCGCCCCCCCCCCCCCCCGCAGCCCATCCGGTCAACATCCACCTCTCCCGTCAGCGTGGGAACAGTCCCTCTCCGGTTAGCACTAGACACCATAGATCTCCCCCGAGTCTACCGCGGGCTGCGGGCCAGGCCAGGGAGGAGGCCCCGGCGCTCCGCTGAGTCCCGGCGTCTCAGGGCGGGCAGCACGACTCCGCTGGCCGGCGCGGCGTGACCGGTCACTGCGCCAGGTCAGCCAGCCAGAACGAGTCGCGGGTGATCATGGCCACGAGGTCCTGTCCAGAGTCACCCTCCAGCTGGCCTGACCGAGCGACCCTGCTCACTGCGAGGCTGTCCAGAACGAGCCCGACTCGGTGGTGCAGCTGTGCCCAGCGCGGTCCTCCAGTTAACCTGACCGAGCGACCCTGCTCACTGCGAGGCTGTCCCGAGCGAGCCCAGCTCAGTGGTGCAGCCCTGCTCAGCGCGGTCCGCACCGAGCGTGAAGCCTTGACCCCATCTGGGTAGTGAGATGCTGACGATGGCAGCGGCGTGGCATCGGTCAGAGGTGTGCGGTTGCTCAGACGGCCGCCCTATGGAGGCTTGCGTGTCCACGCTCCGCTTCCTCGGACGCCAGGTGTGCTGCAGAGGTCTCTAGCTGACCTCTGTAGTTACCCTCGGCCACCCGGGAGCCGCCGTCGGTCATCAGGAGCTAGGATGGACATTGTCCTGACAGAGGTCATCGCCTGTCAATCCTGCCAACAAAACAAGGCCGAGGATAGCTCATCGGAAACAATGTTAATCGGTTACCGATTTCGCAACCAACGCGCATGACTGGATATTACATAACTGTAAAAAACTTTGACCGTCGTCAGATGACATGAACTTCGCCTGAATGGCCTAGTAAGGGTTAAAGAGGCAAGCTTGGCTGTTTGGACGGCGTAGTACCGATGCTCGTCCTATTTAGGGCGGGTCTAGCGCTGGCGACCACCGCTCTCCACTTCAAATATCAGTGAAGTTAGACCACGTCCATGTGCCGAATTGCCTGGTTTGCTTTTCCACCAATATCTGAGTTCAGAGCACAAATGTACTATGACCATAACATCAGTAATCAGCCACATAATCGTTGTTGTAGAAGAAGCAGGCTCCGAAACAGCACTAACCTGCCTGGCCGACAAATCTTTCAACTGCTGGTCACCTCCCCATTGTCCGCTAGATGTCTCTGCTGCCGTGCGGTCAGACAGGTCGGCGGGTCGGTCGGTGGTCCGGTCACGTGCCACGGGGCCCCGGCACCGGTCCAAGCCACTGTCCGATATCCCCACTGCCCCTCCCCTCCTCCGCGACGGTCATAACTCAGGGTGGCGGCGGAGGTGCTGGTTCGATGACGTCCCACGCCATGTTGGAGGCTCGATGACGTCCCACGCCATATCGGAGCCTCGATGACGTCCCACGCCATATCGGGAGGTCAGGTCAAGGGAGCTGGTGAAATCTGAGCCCACGAGGGTGTCAAGTGTCAGTTTGTCACGAAACCATTCACGTGGAATAATGGTGTCCAGCCGGTTTCGGCAATCTAGCTGCATAACGATGCGTGCGGTCTTGTGTTCTCGGCATCAGTTTGTTTATCGTCACCGAACGACAATTACTCGATGTCTCCATGAGACCCATTAGCAATGCAAGTCAGACGCGCAACAGGTGGCTCTCACAGCAACCACGTCCTAACTCAGAGGTGCACGGTCGCAATAAGCTCTTCATGTCCATCCAACATTTAAATGACATTATTATTCAACTAAACGGCTTTGACTGACGAATAAATATCTTATTTGGGTGGATTCGGTGCCACATTACTGATCTTCTGTGTCGCATGTTATGCACATAAGAACAAATATTTGCAAATAAGTTCGGATAATAAATAATAATTCAAACAGCACTCTTTTGCAACATTTCCAAATAGCCACAAAAAACTTTTGCATCTGTTATGACAGCGATTACGATGCTTTGATAAAGGTGTCATAGACGCACACACACACACACACACACACACACACACACACACACACACACACACACACACACACACACACACACACACATATATATATATATATATATATATATATATATATATATATATATATATATAATAAGGCTCGCGATGCAGTAGCTCAGAAAAGCTACCAATTCAGCAAAGGGATTTGTGAGATGAGAGGGTGCTAAAAGTACACCGCCTCGCCGACCGATGCCGACAAGCTTAACAGCATATTTCGCCCTCTTGGAATGGCAACATCAATCCATGCGGCTGAAGATAAAGTTTTAGACCCTAAAAGATTCGAAGTAAACGCGAAAACACATAACATCAGGGTAGCAACGTCTCTTGTTTTCCTAATGTAGAAATTGCTTGCCCTTAAAAACATGGTAGCAATTTTGACAGAAATCTAGTGTTAGCGCCCACCAAAAACGATTTTGTTTAGAGTAAAGGAACATATCGTAAATGTTGATTTGCTGGGCGGGACTTTTATACCTCGTGCATTGGTAACTCAACACTACGCGCAGCCTTGATTAATCTGAGAATGTGCAGAGGGCAGTGAGATCAAGGCTACCGAAATGTCAGAGTGGTATGCTGTGTCGTCGGGTTACGACAAAACACATCAAAAGGCTTGTTCTGACCAAGAAAGGCGAAAGATGGCGACATTTTAGCGGGAACCAGCTGGACATTGTCACCAAAGCATAACTTTTCTCATCCTGTTCGGGCAATGCAGGAAAATCACGATCATATCAGCTACGCTCCCAGCAAGACGCCTTTTTTGTTCCCGTCGGTTTTAAGTATGTCTCGTCGAGTCAAGACAGTGTCTTATCTTTATTTCTGCACTCTAAACACGCACCAGTTAAACACACACTATGGGGTTTAGGTCTAAGTTTCGGCGCATTGCATATCACCTGCGGTCGTTGGTAGCGGCGACACAGCCTGAAGCGTACATAAAAACGGATGCGTTTCACTTGGAATCAAATAATAAATATCTCACATTACACACTCGGTGCACGACACAACACACGGTCAGCTGATGCGTGCTGCTCCCCATTAGCTCACACCGGTCAGCTGCTGCCCCCCATCAGCACACACCGGTCAGCTGCTGCTCCACATCAGCACACACCGGCCAGCTGCTGCTCCCCATTAGCTCACACCGGTCAGCTGCTGCCCCCCATCAACGCACACCGGTCAAATGCTGCTTCCCATCAGCACACACCGGCCAACTGCTGCTTCCCATCAGCACACATCGGTCAGCCGCTGCTCCCCATCAGCACACACCGGCCAGCTGCTGCTTCCCATCAGCACGCACCGACCAGCTGCTGCTCTCCATCAGCACACACAAGCCAGCTGCTGCTCCACACCAACGCACACCGGTCAGCCTCTGCTCCCCATCAGTTCACACCAAGCAGCTGCTGCTCCACATCAACGCACACTGGTCAGCTGCTGCTCCCCATCAGTTCACACCAAACAGCTGCTGCTCCACATCAGCACACACTGGTCAGCCGCTGCTTCCCATCGATTCACACCAAGCAGCTGCTGCTCCACATCAGTTCACACCAAACAGCTGCTGCTCCACATCAGCATACGCCGGTCAGCCGCTGCTCCACATCAGCACACACCGAGCAGCTGCTGCTCCACATCAGCACCCACCGGTCAGCGCTGCTTCCCATCAGCACACACGGGAGCAACAAGGCATCTGGAGCGCTCGATTGAGGAGAGCCCACGGCCGCCTCACCCAAGCACTCGTGACTCATTTTTAGCGAGAGCTGGAGTTTGAGTTCTCCGTAATCACTTATCCCTTTGTTTGGCACGAGAACCTTGTAAGCTGTGTTGATAATGCTGGAGCCGCGCCACTTCACAACGGCGCCGCCGGGATCCTATGCTCGGGCTCAGAGACGCCCACAGTGACCACTCTGGGTCAGCGCCTGCTGCTTGGCGCAGCGAGAGTGAGCCCTAAATTCCGGCACGTATGCCATCGGTCGACGCAGACACGACGGCCCACTACAAACTTGATGTGTGTCAGGATCACCCAAAACAACGACATTGTCTGACGGCGCCACCTTAAGGATACTAACCTCGGTCAGCTGATGCCGAGTGGCACTGAGGAGCGTAGAGAGGCACAGGTCAACTGTCGGATTGACGGGACTGTACAGAGGTCACCGCAGGTCTGTCTCGTCAGCTCACAGCGTCGCTACAGACACCGCTCGGCGTCGGCTCCTGGCCAAGCTTAACGCCAGGTCGCCGGCGTATCCCGGTCAGTGTCACAGCAGATTAACGATGAACCCCGGTCAGTGTCACGCCAGGTCACCGGCGTACCCCGGTCAGTATCACGCCAGGTCACAGACGAATCCGACCAGCATCACGCCAGGTCACCGGCGCACCCCGGGCAGTACCACACCAGGTCACCGGCTTACCCCGGTCAGTATCACGCCAGGTCGCCGGCGTACCCCGGTCAGTATCACACCAGGTCGCCGGCGCACCCCGGCCAGTGACATACCAGGTCACCGGCTCACCCCAGTCAGTGTCACGCCAAGTCACCGACGTGCCCCGGCCAGTGTCACACCAGGCCATCGATGTGCCACGGCCAGTGTCACACGAGGCCACTGGCGCACCCCGGTCAGAGTCACGGCAGGTCAGCGGACGGCCGGCTGCAGGCAGCGCCAGGCAGTCGGCACCGTTGGCCCAGCTGACATCAGGCAGCACGCATCAGAAGGCCGGGCCGGCGTCGTCTTAGCTGGTGTGCTGGCTCCCTCAGGCGTGCGGGGCGTGGCAGCGGTCTCCGTCTCAGTGGTGCTGGCGTCCCGGCCCGTCTGTCCGCGTCCGTCTGTCGGGGCAGGGCGGCTGCGCCGGCACACTCACAGCGGGTGCGCGCACTGGCGCGAGCAGAGGCCCGGGCAGCACTTGAGCACGCCCGGGCAGTGGTCGTCGGCGTCGCAGGCGTTGACACGCGCCCCGCCTCGGCATGGCGGCGGCAAGTCATCCACAAACGACGGCGGCGGACAGAAGCCCGGCTTCGTCGAGAGCTGCTCCTCTGAAACGGACGGCCAGCGGTCACCGGCGGCCAGTGATGGTTGCCGGCGGTCAGTGGCGGTGATCGGCGGTCAGTGACAGCCGCCGGCGGTTAATGGTGGTTTCCGACAGCCAGTGCCACCCCCCGGCGGTCAGTGACGATCACCGGCGGTCAGTAACGGTCATTGGTGGTAAGTGACGGTCACCGGCGGTCCATGATGGTCACCCGCGATCTATGATGGCCACCGGCGATCAGTGACGATCACTGACGGTCAGTGATGGTCACCAGCGGTCAGTGATGGTAACCGGCGGTCAGTGAGACCACCGGCGCTCCGTGATAGTCACCGGCGGCTAGTGATGGTCACCGGCGGTCAGTGAGATCACCGGCGCTCCGTGATCGTCGCCGGCGGCCAGTGATGGTCACCGGCGGTCAGCTACAGCCATCAGTGATGAGTGACAGTCACCGGCGGTCAATGATGGCGCCTGACCGTCATCTATACATGACGCTTACCGACGGTTGTTAACGGTCTTCGATGGTCACCGAAGATCACGGATGACCACTTACGAGCAGTGACCGCCAGCGTGGATTGTTGTGACGAAAGTAGCGCCGTAGCCATGTGTAGACTCAGTTATGGTGAGCTCAGTACCGGTCGAAGTCCTCGGAAGCCCTCGGTCACGCCGCTCTCTCTAAAGCTCATTCTCGCCGCGCTCGTATCAGCTCATTACTCACCAACGGCAGTGGACGGCCAAATCCTGACAGCGACGGGTCAAAACCCGAATACGTTCAGACTATGTGTGGTCATGTGTGTTGTATCCGCCGCGGCGACTCGGTCGGCAGCCCTCGGCGGACGTTTATGAGCATGTGCGGGCGCAGACGGGTCGGGATCTAGGGCTAGCACAGATGACAGAAGATATGGTCGGGATTGAGGCCGACAGAAGGAGAGAGCACACCGTTTACACAAGCTCGCATCGAGGAACGCACAAGCTGTCCACTGAGAACCCTCATCGACAGCACGGCAGAGGCAGCGAGCTTCACAAAGCAGTTCGAAATGAGGCGAGAGAGAAGAGCGCATCAGCAAAAGAGAGACACAGGTCATGAGAGGGAGAGAGTAAGAGCGTGAGGTCGAGAGGAGAAGAAGAGCGCACCTGGCAGCACGCAGGAGAACAGGCAGCCGTTGTGGCAGCACTTGAGGCCGGCTGGACAGTGGCGGTCGTTGGCGCGGTAGCACTTGGGTCGGCCGTCGCGCCAGCAGCGGCGCACCACGTGCCAGCTGATGGCTGGACAGGTGCCGGGCCGGCCGGCCGGCTGGCAGGTCAGGCCGCAGCCAGACGGGCAGCACTTCCGCGAGCCGGCGCACTGGCCGTCGTGCAGACACAGGTCCCGCGCCGGCATCCGGCACCGGAGCCGCTCGAGCGGCGCGTGCGGGCAGCCGCCCGGCTTGACCGGCACCTCTGCGGCGCCCCGTCACGGCCCAGTCACGACAGGTCACACCGGGTCATGCCAGGTCAAGACCGGCGACGGGCGAGGCGCGGGCCGGTGACAGGCGGAAAACGGAGGCAAGCAGGTGAAACGCAGACGGAACAAGAGGGACACAGGTGGGTCACAGCCGATACACGTAAAGACTCAAGCACACAAGAAGCAAGTGAGAAAGTTGGGAAGCCTTTGCTCTCACAAACTTAAACAGCTTTCAGTGTAGAATATGACCGTGGATGTAAAAGCATTCAAATATACCACTTGAGCCCTAACCCAACCATATAGAAGAGTGTTACAGCATGGCTGACTTGGATACGCTAGTATAGTTGATGAGCCTGATAGATTCTCTAGAGGATCAGAAATGTTACGTATCTGGCATCACGGAGAATGGCATCAAGCCACAGAACGGGTATACGTGAACACATAAAGGCTGGCTAAAGCAGTCGAGAAGTCACACGGCAGTGGTAAAGAGGAACATTTGCACAGTTGCGACAGGACACGCCTGAAGGGAAGCTGCACGTGCACTCAATACGCATGATACGTTGTGATGACGAGCGATCCGGCGAGACGATTTAGGACTCCAGTAAGCCCGCGATCGCGCGGTGTTCCCTTATATGGATATGAAAGCTCAGGGCCGTAAAGAGGGCGCAACACGTTAAAGGTCCGTTTATACGAAGGCCTGCAAACTCAAGCCTGGTGAAGTAGAGCATGCTTAAGTGTCTGGCTGCGAGTGACTACGATTAATGCATGCCTGGTGTAGAAACTACAGCCATCTAAATGCAACACATGCTACGCATGTGCACGCACACACCGATTGTAAATGCACAAGATAACGTGTCTGTTCAAGTACCAACCCATAGTTGTCAGCTGGAGCCTTTAATGCATAGATGCTGGAGATGGTTGTCAGTCACCACCCGTGACTCATCAGAGACCAGGCATGAGATGCGGGCCTGGCCTGAGCTGGCTTGGCCGGTGAAGCGGACCGGGCGGCGCAGCCTGCTCGGACCGCTTACACCCGGCTCGGCCGATTGGCGGCCCAGCCGTACCGGTCCCGATGCACTGAGGCGTGCTCCGGGACAGAGCGGCGCGATCATCAGGCCCCAGTAGCCGAGTGCGGGGCAGGGGGGGGGGGGGCGGGGTGCCGGTACTCACCCTCAGCCAGCACCGCCGCCTGCTCTATGGCGCCGCCCGCCTCGGACACTGCCGGCAGAGTAACGGGTCAGAGGTGGCCGTCCGTTTCGGCCGGCTCGATGCAGGTCAGGCCGGGGGCCCTGGCGGGGGTACCGGGCCGGCCCGGCTGGTACAGGTCAGGCCCTGGCCCGGTTCGATGCAGGTCAGGCCGGGGGCTCCGACCTAGCTGATACAGGTCAAGCCGAATGGTCCCGGCTCGAGCTCCGCCGTTCGCTAGCCGGCCGGCTTGGCCGCTAGGGGGCGCCCCTGGCTAGTGCACGTGACCAACGCAATCACGTCCACAGCGGGTCATCACGTGGCGACACTGGACAGGCAGGACGCCCTGCAGGGAGGCGCTGGCCCAGCGTGGGCCGTGGGGGGGGGGGGGGTAACAATGACCTGAGTAATCCGTAAACCACGCGGCGCCGGTGAGGGAGGCGATAACCCACGCCGCACACGAGCCATGCTACACCGGAAGCAACATACTAACCTGACATCACAGGCTTCAAAACTTAGCATGCGTCTTTGATATAGCCAAACATCTTATCCAGTCACGCATTTTGGATGAGTAGCGTTTGAGATTACTGCACGCAACCACCGGCGCAAGTTTGAACACTGGGTGTTTGACATGGCGTTTGATTTATGACGATAAGCACACAAAGAAACCTATTTCATTCACGCAGCCTGACAGCACAAAACTCGCGAATGACAGTTTATTGGGGCGCCTTAAGATCAACTGCTCGCGCCCTTCGTCATATTTTGCTTTCACGGCACCATTGCATGGGCTACTTTGTCCTGTGCTCCTCTGCATGCGAACTGCTGTTGCAACAGTGCGACGACCCCACTAACACAACAGTCAGGAAAATGACTCAGTTATCACGTTAAGTAGCATTATCAAAGGAATGTAGAAAAACCTGCTCGCTGCTACTACAAGCAGCCCAGACGGCCAATTTGACGCAGATAGCATTATTGGTACGCGGTGTGAGCATACCAGTCATGCAATCAGGCACATTCACCAATCATCGGAGGCCATGAACTAACTACCTCCTCTCATGAGCTGACGTCTTCGAAGAACGATCGGTATTAGGGCGGCATGGTTCCCCAGCCACTAGAATGCTGGACAAACCAGTGCTGACCAGAGCCCGCATCTGTGCCGGGACGACCAGCTGCAAGCGGCACATTGCTGTATTGGGGTTTTATGACACACGCGGCTACCGACGTTCTATGGTGTCGCATGCCTCTCGCACTGACTGAGAAGCCGGGCGCACGGGGAATCGAATCCAGCGTCTCCGATCTCCCAGACGCGCAGCGTAACCACTTAACTACAGACGACCCGGCATATTAAGTTGATGTTCCCTGTAAGCGCGACATACAAAGGTCGTGTATAAAGTGGGAAGGGGCGGAAGGGTCCGGCTACTGCCTTCAGCATCTTGAGAAATAACTCTCCCACAACGTCGAGTGGGAAGAAATGAATGTGTGCGCACTTAAAATCGACCTGGGCCCCTCTCTCCACCGTGGTTTGGTCGCCACTGGTGAGATGACGGCAGGTTTGTCACATGGCTCTACCGTGTGGAGCAGGCCTTGTGTAGAAATGTAAAGCCATATCAAAACAATTGAATGATCGACATGACATAGCATAATATGCCCGCAACGCAGGTGCAGCCACGTATTGAGCAATTCGTTGAATGCATTGATTGCGTTAAATGAAGCATGCCATCTTTCTAACCTTGCCATTCATAAGCCAAACAAGTCAAATTTGGTTGGTAACACTATTTTTGCGGGATTGCTCCGAAAAACTTCTAACTTTGATTTCACACGAGCCCGGGTGGTCGGCTTGACACCCTTGGCTCGGGTGGGGGTCAATTTGGCCGCCTGAGATCTTATAAATTAAGAGAGCTAGAGACACCAAATTTACAGGGTGTGTTGACCTGTACGTGTACTTACTTAGGTCAAATTTTAAGGTTCCTAGGCTATGCAATTTGGGTCAAGTAAGGTCAAACAAGGTCAAATTTCAGGTTGGTCTCCAAAGTGCCCCTGGAACCTAGATAAGTGTTTGAAGCAAAAAGTCACACACTCATTTAAGGTCAATGACCTTTTTGACTTTTTGAAAGCCATGTTGATCAAAGTCATACAAGACTGCAATGCGTTTTGCATTTGAATAAGCGACTAGGATTACGTTAGGCACTATGCCCCTAAAAACCAAATGTTGACCGGGGCTATTTTAGGTCAGTAGCCTATTGTGACCTGTGAAAAGACCATGGCGGGTGCACAATACGGTTCCTGTTATCAATAAATTCGAAATGGGCGCCAGAAAATTCTCCATACGCTAAGCCCTAGAGTAAAAACAGGTTGATTTTGACTCTGGATTGGCCTTCATACCTAACCCTAAGTCAATGCACTTTGCTCATTCATGCTGCCTAAGAAAGTATCTCAGAGATGTATGGCTTCGTCTAACACTTAGTTGTTGGATCAGGTTGAACGATTCCCTGGAAATTGCCTTCGCTGAAACCATGGCCTGACTTTGACCTGCCATAGGTCAGCGACCTTGCAAGGTACATCTAATTTTTTATGTTAGGTGATCCGCTATTGACTTTTCTACAGCAATGCAAAAGGTTGCGTGGTTACGCCGCGCCGTTCGGAAACCATCCCGAAAAAATCTTAGGGGATCAATCTGACCCCCACCCGAGCGCGCGCTTAAGTAGCCGCTCCGACCGGTGAAGTTCCACTATACTTAATGCTCGCCACTGTGCTTAATGATTAAACACGTGGATCATGGCACGTTAAGTTTGTTTGTGTCGTGTGTGATAAACCTTGCACGTGTTTTTACCCGACGATGCATCTGGTGTCAGCTGTGAAACGCCTACAATCAAGTATGACTGTGTATACATATGTACGTACATACATATGTATATATATATATATATATATATATATATATATATATATATATATATATATATATATATATATATATATAAATATATATATATATATATATATATATATATACCATACCATATATATATATATATGGTATGTATGTTGATATGTGTGTATGTTTGTGTCAAACCTTGTGCAATGAGATGTTTCAGTTCTATCTGAGCCTCCCCCAGCGTGAACCAACAATTCTTTCCATTTTCTATCGTAAAGCAGTCGTGATAGCTTTCCCAGGGCGTAACCGATGGCTTCCAGGTCACACCCTTACGTGTGGGCCATTAAGCCGCCACTATGCCATGTCATGAGCTCTCGTCGTGGGCAGCCAAGTAGGTTAACGACTGCACCAATGCCGAGCCACAGTCCATCCATGCACTCGGAGCATGGGTGGACTTAAATTGCTAGGACGAGTGCCGTGAGAAAGTATCGCTGGCTGAGAAATAGCTTGGTGTGTATGCTGTCGGAGCAGCGTCGTCGTGTTGCTCCCGCCGGACAGACGCGTCAGCTGAGCCGGTGTGGGGTGCTGGGCCGGCCGGGCGGGCGGCCGCTGAGTGGCGCCTCCAGTGGCGCCCGTTATCGGCCCAGATCACCGCCGAGCACACTCCAGCATGCACACCTGTCGAGAGGCCACCTAGCAGCGGGCGGGGAGAGAGAGAGAGAGAGAGAGCGCGTGCTCGGGCAGCCGGGGGCCGGCTGGGGTCGGCGGCCTCGGCCTCCGCCGGCAGCCAGGACACGGCCGTCCCCAGCCAGCGGCGCCGGCCTCCCCGGACTCCGCCGGCAGCCAGGACACGGCCGTCCCCAGCCAGCGGTGTCAGCCTCCCAGGCCTTCGTCGGCAGCCCAGCCTCCCCGGCCTCCGTCGGCAGCCAAGACACGGCCGTCCTCAGCCAGCGGCGCCGGCCTCCCCGGCCTCCGCCGGCAGCCAGGACACGGCCGTCCCCAGCCAGCGGTGTCGGCCTCACGGAGCGCGGGGAACTCACTAGCCGCATGGCTCACCAGTGCCCAGTAGTGGTCAGGTACGGTCAGGAGTCGTTGCATCCCGACGATCACGACTTTATAGCATCATCCGGTGATCATGAACGGCGCTCGCTGGATGCGCAAGATAAATCTCCAAGTCGTGACTGCCTGCGACGGAATCTTTCACCCCACCTTCTGGCTGTTTTTCCGCAGTGATTCACCTGGCGAGACAAAAAGCGAGACCCACCCATGCAGAATTAACGGAGCTTCCTGCAAGATCTTGATATGGCACCGGAACCTGTCTCCTTCAGCAACTGGCTCAGCGGGATTGTTGACATCGAGGTATCGTGACTTAATTGCATACCACACCCCCGAGATCTCAGCGAACATTCGCCGCGGACCAATGACCCAGATGCCAGCTCGAGGAGGAATGCAAACCATCAATTCGACGCCGCTACGTTCGCTGACGGCGTCTCATGAACCGTCTGGTAATCCCCAGGGTATGTGGGAGCCGTACTGAATGAACAACAATGTCTGAAATGTACCATTGCGGTATGTTATGAATGTGTAATGCATGACTTTTCTGCCCGCTATTTATAAACGCCGCAAAGCAGGCACGGAGAGCAGATGGATACGAAAACGACAAAACTGCGACGGAACGCAGCTGCTGCCTCCACGGTTCGCGAGGAATATCAGGGCCCTGTTAACCCTTCCACGTTCTCTCCGTTCGAGCCGAACAGCGGCTTCTACTGAACGTGCGTCACAAATGAGATAACTCAGATGATGCCATGCTAAATCCATCGCTTAGTTTATATTGGCGCTTATAACGGCTTATCGACGATCATTGGTGGTTCATGGCCTTCTTAGCACCTCTCTGTCAAGCGAACTCGTGCTTAATTAATAGTGGAGTTATTTATTAATTATATTTGACGCCATATTTATTATAGTAATTATAATTGACGCCAGAAACAATGCAGATAACCTAAATTTAATGCAACCAACAGCAGATATTCCTACACTGGCAGTAATTGCTTGTGCAAAAAATGGCAAGCTAAGTACAGAAGAAGGCCCTTAGCATCGCAATAATTTTTATTGTGCATGGTTTTGTGAATTCCACAAAGGGAGCCGACGTGGTTAACTTTTGACACCAGAATCAATTCCACTACGATTTCGAAGCCAGGATGATATCTCGTTGAGCCGGAGAAGCAGTCGATTCAAAATTGTGCTGCTCTGCTCTGAGTGAGTTCTGAGTCAGCGCCATCACCCATTTAGATAGTGAGTCACAGTTGCAGTCGAAACCGCTAAAGCGGCATCAAGCATAAAGCTGGAGTGTGGACTGCGACCGTACTCCAGGCTAGCTCTGCGACGGTGGCGCCCCAGCTCCGGGCCAGCTCTCCGGCGGCGGCGCCCCAGCCCCAGGCCGGCTCTCCGGCGACACCGCCCCAGCTCCAGGTCAACTCTCCGGCGGTGGCGCTCCAGCCCCAGGCCGGCTCTCCGGCGACACCGCCCCAGCTCCAGGTCAACTCTCCGGCGACACCGCTCCAGCTCCGGGCCAGCTCTCCGACGGCGGCGCCCCAGCTCCGGGCCAGCTCTCCGGCGGCGGCGCCCCAGCTCCAGGCCGGCTCTCCAGTGACACCGCCCCAGCTCCCGCCCAGCTCTCCGGCGGCGGCGTCCCAGCCCCCGCCCAGCTCTCCGGCGGCGGTGCCCCGGCTCCCGCCCAGCTCTCCGGCGGCGGTGCCCCGGCTCCCGGCCAGCTCTCCAGCGGCAGCTGAGCTCCCGTCCACCCATCCGGCCGTTGAAGGCAGCGCGGCCGGACGCCGGCGGTGGCTGGGGTCCGGTCCAGCCCCGCCCGGCCGCTGCAGCAGCGCGGCCAGGCGCCGGCGGCAGCTGGGCCCCCGGGCGGCCCATAGCGCAGTCACGCACCCCTCATCGGCGTTGTGCGCTCGGAACACGTGACACGTCGGGTGATTCTCCATACGTAGCAAGCTAGTGCCTTTCAAGATTTCGAAGTTCACGTCATCCAAGGGCTGCTGATGTCTCTGTCCCACCAGGTGCCACACAGCCTGAAGATGGGATGCGTTCACACATGACCGCGACAGTCACTGGACGTTCCGACTGCATGGGTGAGCCGTGGCTCGGCATTGGTGCAACCGTTAGCCTACTTGGTCGCCCACGGTGAGCGCTTATGGCATAGGGCGGCTTAATGGCCCATACGTAAGGGCGTGACTTGGCAGGCATCGGTCACGCCCTGGGAAAGCTATGTCGACGGTCGTAATGTAGTGCAACAGTGAAATAATCGTGCGTGTTGGGAATGCGAATTGGCAATCGGCTAACTATTAGAGAAAGGCGATTTATCAGATGATCTGATGGATGTGCTTTTTTAGCAGGCCACTGCGATAATTTTTTTCAGTTAACAAAGAACGAATCCAATCTCCCATAGCACGTGCCGATGCTCAGAAGCATTTTTACACTGCGGTATTTGTGGTTTAGTAACAGTAATATGCAAGCCCCGTCGTACCATTTCGAATTTCGTTCATCGAATGATCAGCCTGCCAGAGTGTATGCCATTGAAACCACTGAAAGATGTTTTGGCATTTCCGTTTGTATTGTCGTGTGCAAGGTAAACGAAGAGCAGCTTGCAAAATACGCACAGCGTTTTAAGTGCCAATGATATAATTTACAAAATAGTAACACGTTACCGGACAGGTTTGGATGAGCGGTTGGTATCCCTTTCATAAACCCGAGAGAGGTGCCTTCTACCTCAGCTGCCATTCCTTCAGCCAGGGTAGCCTGGGGTCATGGAGAAAGATCCGGCACCGCCTCCGCCTGCCGGCAGCCAAACTTCTGACTCAGCGAAACTCGTCCTCACGGTATTAATCTGCCAGACGGCACGCCCTTCTACTATGAATCTATCAATGTCCCACTCCGCTCAAGCTGCCCACGTCTCCTCTTTCACCCTCGTCTTGTTCCTCGACTCTCCTTGTCTGTCCCTGTTCTTCTCCTGCCTCTCGTCCTCGTTCTCTATATGCCTTTCATACTGTCCGTCCTAGTCCTCCTTCCTCTGCCCCTCCCGTCTCCTACACTCTTCCTCCCCGCCTCTGCGCGCCTCACCTAGCGGCAGAAACCCAGTTCCTTCTCCTCCAGTCCTCTCCCGTCTCCTGCTCTCTTCCTCCCCGCCTCTGCGCGCCTCACCTGGCGACAGACACCCAGGTCCTCCTCGCTCTGCCCGCTCCCGTGTCCTGCCCTCTCCCTCCCCACCTCTGCGCGCCTCACCTGGCGACAGACACCCAGGTCCTCCTTGCTCTGCCCGCTCCCATGTCCTGCTCTCTCCCTTCCCGCCTCTGCGCGCCTCACCTGGCGGCAGGCAGACGTGGTTGCCGGCCACCTCGCAGCACTTGAGGCTGGTGGGGCACTCGAGCGCCTCGGGGTGGCTCGGCCGACACGGGATCAGCTCGCGCAGCGCCGCCACCCGCTCGTCCACCTCCGACTCGTCCACAGGACACCGGCCGGGGCGAGCTGCGGCACGTGACGGCCCAGTCACGTCCCATCACTGATTGGTGACAGCGGATGCCGTGGCAACGGCGCTTCTGTCAGCAAAGTGGCGCCACAGTGCGGTCACAAAAATAGCCGTCGCAGCAGTCAACAGCGTCAACGGACAACAGAGCAGTCAACGGTGTCAGCATAGTCACAACTCCAGAGCAGTGTCGACTCAGTGATGGGACAGCGCGGTACCAGCTCAATAATGAGCCAGCGCAGTGCGGC